ACTTTCCAACCCCGGACAGCGACCCTTTCAGAGACGATCCGCTGTCCAAAACGCCCCGCCCCGACAACGGCCCGATCGTCTCTGCTAGGACGGCTGTTAGCGACCCTTTGAGCGGCAACGCCGAGCATCTCAGCCAGCAGATGCTGGGTTTAACCAGTAAGAACATGATCCTCGCTCTCAGTAACGGCCAGTGGCCACTCGGGGGCAAAATAACACCCGGCGGCATGATGGATGGCAGCGAGCCCGGATCGGCTCTGTCGGCCCAAAACCCCTTTTTTGACTCGGACGCCTTTTCGAACGGGGCGAGCCACCAAGTCGCAGAGATTGCGAGCAAGGACTCTGTGGTTCTAAACCCGCCTCCGCAGAGCTCGAAGGCCGGACGAGGTCGAAGGAATCAGAAGGTGACCATGTCGCTTGACAGCGTCGGCTGCATGTGTGATGCCTGAGGGTGGCCGCATGCAGGTCTTGACTGGTCGCACCGGGTTCTCCGGGGGAATCGCAACGTATGGAAAGCCCTTTGCGCATTCAGCCCATCCCCTTGATGTGAACGTTATAGGGGTGGAAAAGTTGGAACTGGCGGACACTGAAATGAGATTTGACTCCACTCGTCGATTTCAAGCAGTCAACGTCGATGCGACGCGTTCGTCGACTTTTTGGCCAGTTGACAAATCGGTTCCACCCCTACTGTTGACCTAAATTTCTACTCCCGGTAGTTGGCGTCGTGCACTTCCCTCGTCGTACGAGTAGCACACAGACGTCTTGCCTCGCAAGTGTGCTCAAGTGTCAAACGGTAATGGGGGAGACGTGAATAGTAAGTCAGTTGTTCTACTGGTTCATCCTACTTGTGCCTTGAATTGCTTTACTAGTGAGGACAAAGAGCAAACTAGTACAAGGACCTTCACCGGGATATCGAGGATATTGAAAAAAACGCAGCACTCAAATGGCTTTCCATACCAAAGGTAGAATGGATGGGGAGGGGGTCTGTCTGAATGCATGCACCTGTGGTCACAAGCTTCCTTTGAGACAATCATAAATGTCATCTGCGTTTTTTATATGCTGTAACCTCCTTTCCTTGTTTTTTGCGAACGCTTACACTTGCCCCGATGAAAGTGCCGGTAAGTGGCAATGCATGGCGGGAAGAAAGCGTAACAATAGGTTTGAAATTTTGGATTCGGGGTGCACTCACAGCAGGGGAACTAGTCGGACGTATCCAGTTCTGAAAAGACACAATTTGAGACGGGTCAATGAAGAAGCAAGCGCGTTTTGGGCGAGAAGCTCCGCGTGCTTCCTTGAGATCCGAGCCTATTTAAGGAGAGCTTTGGCGCCACCTTGTGGCCGCTCAATGCGCCATAGAGCCAAAAGCGACACGTGTTTGCGTGAGATTTTTTTTTTTTAGTGATTGATTTTCGGTGCTGGTCTGGCACCAGGCCTGCCAGCTGGAAATGCCACTTTTGCTCTAAACAGTAAAAAGCATCAATTTGGCCCAAGCTCCTGAAAAGAATCGGTGGTGGTGGGGTAGCTCCAGGCTGTGTAGATGCACCCCGAGCCTGAAAACATTTCATGTCATGTGGTACTTAAAGATTTTTGTGATGTTTTGTTCGGCGGGGCGCTCCTTATGTTCCCCAATTAGTCCGCAGCAAGTGACTTGTTTGGAGCGGAACTGTTTGCTGGAGCTGATGGCGCGTCAGCCGGCGGCGACCTGTTCAACAACACGCCAGCCAACTCGGCGCAGTCGTCCATTGCAGCCCTGGGTAAGATACGGCGGAATGGTGGCGCGAGCGGCGAGCCTCGCCCTCGGCAGGGTCCTCGTTTGCGCGGCAACATTTTAAAGGAGTGTTCTTTCATCTCCAGGAGATCTTCAGTTGGGTCCGCCGGCCAGCACCGGCATCCCCACTGCGGGCATGTGGCCCACCTCCATCGTCGCCCCCTCCATGTACGCCGCCCCGGCGTCCGCCTACCCGCAACCGTCGGCCTTCGGTGGTCTTCCCATACCCCCCAACGCCTGGGGTCAGCAGATGGCCCCTCCTCAGTTCGGCGCGCCGCATCTCGCCTGGGGCCAGCCCGCGCCACCGGCCGCAGTTTGGGGCCACCCGGCCGCCACCAACCCCTTCCAGCCCGGGCCCTACCCCGGCCTGGGCGAGCAGCAGAGTCCATCTCGCCCGCCTCCCCGACCGCCCGCGAAGGAGGCCCCGGCGAAGCCGGAGAGAAACGCCTTCACCGCTTTGGACCCCCTTGGCGACAAAGAGAAGAAGACCGGGAAAGATATGTTCAAGGACTTCCAGCTGGCCAAGCCGCCCGCCATCCCCGCTCGGAAAGGCGAGCAGGTGGCCACCTCGGCTTCGGAATCGGAGGCTTTCGACCAGTACTTCTCCAAGAAAGTGGGCTTGGCTCAAGAGGTGGCGGACCACGACGACTTTGACATCAATCAAATGTCGGCGCCAGTCAACGGTAAGCAGGCGCAATGCGACCGCACTCTCCACGTTGTCCATCCTCACATGGTCTCCGTTCCCGTACAGACGCGCCGCCTTTGAGCGTCGACGCCCCGGGCCTCCTCCTTGACGCCTTCTCCTCCAACAGCTCGGCACACGGAGAAGGCCTCAGCCTAGACAAGTTTGACGAGGCGTTTGGAGCCCCCAACGCGGCTCCGTTTGGGGTCCCGCCTGTCCCAGTGGTACACATTTCATCCTTGTCCCAATACTTCTGCGCCTAAACGTAGTAGAAGATGCCAATTGACCAACAGCCAGCTGTCATTGAGTTTGCCGTCAAATCCGTCCACGATCACGCTTTTCGGCTTTACTTGAAATTCTTCAGTAAGAGAACATCGACACTCATTTGGATTTGTTTGCAACTTCTTTCTTAATATGAAATGCGGATCGCGTTCCTGACCACCCCTGCCATAAGTAAAATCTGGGATGCCAAAGTACTCCCTATGTCTCTTTTTCTAGCATTTGCAGCACTTGGCTTTCTTTGTAATCATTCATCTTTATTTTTGAATGGCAGACTGCTCCTATTGCTCAGAACTCCACGGGTGCCTTTGGAGATCCCTTTGGAGATCCCTTTGGAAATCACATAGTATGACCATACTTAAAATTGTTGTAAGTCACCAATTCAGTCATTTTATTTGATTTACGTGTCTATTTTATTTTTAATTCTCTGTCATTTTTTCCCCAGCTCAAATGGAGATTGCATGAAGTATCATCATCTCGGGGACAAACCGCCGTGAGACAATCAAACGATGGCCTCCGTCCAGCCTTCTTCCACGTCGCTGTCTCTGTTATTTGCTCTGTCTGATTAGTAGTTCCCTTATTTCCTAAGAGCATTGATCCAACACATGTTACGTCATGATCTGCTGAAGTGAGAGAAAGAGAGTGAGAGAGGGAAAAAAAAAACATAGTATGAGAGAAATGTCCAAAGATGTTGCATGTATTGAAAAGAAAAATAAAATAATGGCAAAGCAGCACTCTGAGGATCACTTCATTTCAAGCTGTTTGGGGGAAAATCCTATTAGCCCTTTTTTTTTTTTTTAATATCATGGCTGTTCTCTATTTGCTCCCTTTGGGTTCCATCTTAAGGAAACCTGGAATTTCCTTCCACTGCTATGCGGATGACTGTTAGTTCGATGTCCCACTGAGCAAAAAAGACGCTTTCTCATCAAGGCCGCTTTGATACCGTCGGGAGGAAAATCAAGACCTGGATGGCACAACATTTTTTGAATTTCAAAGAAACGAGGTCAGAAGTGATGGTCTTTGGTCCCAGTGGCCCTTGGACATCCCACCCTGCAGACGCCGGGCCCACTGGCTCCTTCTCTGAAGCAAACAATCTCGATCTTGGGTTAAACTGGACAGCGATTTGAAATTGGACCACCAAATTGGTGCTGTTGTCCAATCCCGCTTCTTTCATCTTTTGCAGCTGGCTAAAGTCAAGCCTCGCCTTTCTCAAGGACACTTTGAAACAGTCGTCCCACTGAGCATTTGTCCCCCTCGCTGCCCATCTTTAAAACCTCTCTTAAAACTCATTTTTATTCTTTGGCTTTTCACTCTGCATGAGTCTTGATTTTTAATTTTACTCTTCTTGTTTCTAATTTATTTTGGTTGTTGTATGAAAGTTTTTTTTCCCAGTTTATTTTCACTGACCTGATTGCCCCCAGACCTGTTCATTCAAGAAATCGCTTAAATAAACCTTGTCTGACAAAATGATATATGTATGCACGTTGGCCTATTTGTGTATGTTCTTTCCCTCTCCCTAACGGCGTAAACTACACTACCACACACACACACACGAGACACGCCGTACAGTTGGATATTGTGTCGCCTCTGGAACAGGCTGCGCTTCCCACCATGAGCATGTGAGTTGGCACGTGATCGGTCGGGCGCATTCTATTCTTCGTCCACCACAGCAGTCAGGTAAGACTTGTCCATTCAAAGATTTTATCGTGAATAAAATGTGTGTAATCCACAGTTAGAGTAAAATGACGGACGTGTTTGTCTTGTAAACTGTAATCTGCAAGAGTTTTCAACACACGGTGGAGAGAGTGATAGAGCTTCGGGAGTCATATTTTTCCCCAACTAAACACACAGAATTGACTTCCTTCAGGATTATTGCTAACTCAAAACAGGTTGTGTCATCAGACTTTTTGGACGAGTGACCGAGGGATTGTTCTTCAGAAATGTCACATGAAATTTAATTGCACTCCCGGGACCCGCGGTGAGAGCGCAGTGCCGTTAATGTTACAAAAACAAGGGCTGGGTATAGCGGTGTGAGAGTACAGATGCACTCGGGTTGTCGGTAAAAACTGACAATCGCATAGTCCAGTACAGTATTCACATTTCAACCAATGAGTCCATGACGTGACTATTTGTTCCACACACGGGCGATTCTAGGTTCAGGGCTTTCATCGTGTAGCGCTCCCACCCAATTTAACTCATACATTTATAAAAGAGAAGTGTAAATATCCCTAATCATCTTTTTAAGTCACAGCAGTAGTGATTTATTTTGAACATGAATTTGAATTGTCACTTCCTGTCTAGCGCTTCCTGTTTAGCGCGGTTCGCAAAAAGGTAACTTGACGTCTTAAGTACGGCCAGAGTTTAGACTACCCGCTAGTATGGTGTGGAGGGTATGGTGTGAAGTAATGTCAAGTAATTTATGTGCAAATGAGTGGATGTCGAGAAGGATAACAAGGCCATACGGCAATCAGTGTGGAACTGTAGCGACTAGGGATCTGATCCTTTTTGTGACGGTCGCCATAGTTACCTTCTTAAAGAGTCAACGAGCACTCGGCGGTCTGCTTGTTTGTCGCTAGCCTTGATGCTTGCTTTCTTCTTCTCGCGTTAGGTTTCTTCAACCGAGAGCAAATCTGCCAACCTGACTATCTTGTCTGCCACCAGTGTGCAGTTTTCACGGTTGATGGTGTTTATTTGTTGTATTATTTCTGGACGTCAGATGCAGGGGGCGGTGGCACCTCGCGGCTCCGGCAAGCACTCCGGCGCACTCAAGAGAAAAAGATGGGGCGGTTTGAGACGGCAGTGGGAGCTTCTGGGCTTATTTGAAATTGATCAGCACCACGAGTTCTACAGCCTGACATGCATGATGAAGGAGGGATTGTTTTCATCAATCCAAACCACCATTGACCGTGCATCGACGGTGAGTGTCTGGCAGATGCTCATGGGACTTGAGACATGGCATCTCCAATAAAAACATCAACGCACGAAGTGGTCCCAAAAGAAGCCCCTTGAATCGAAAGCAGTGTCCATACCGGCAGTGCTGGACTAACAGTCATAATTGTCCTGCCGGTATGGACAGACTATTGTCCGCTGCTACGTCACGGTGAAGCTCAGTGGAGCACAGCCTGCTGACTGCCCAGAATTTTTTCATGATTGTCCTGTCTGTTATCGACTGCGGAATCCCACCAAAATACCCAACGCACTCCAGGGCCGTGCAGTGGACGAAAGAGAAAATCATTGTTTAAAAAAAATGTAACAATGCACATTTTCCAACTGCCGTCATGTTTAGAGTTGAAAACAAGATCACAATGTCTCGACTGAGACTGAAAACAATAGAGAAGCACGTTGTTTGTTTCCCCACGTTAACATTTTATCATGTGGGAATGATCACAAAAAGAAAGAAACTACAAATGCAAACTCTCTCTTTCGCTTTAGAGTCAACTGGTCGAAGAGGATTTCAGAGCGGAGGACACTCAGATTCACAAGGCGAGGCGAATGTCATGGTCTCATTCACAGTGTTATGGTTTGCCGGCTTACGCGTGTGTGTGTTGTGTAGGGTTTTACATGGGAGACATTTGCGGGCCCGGTGTTTGCCAACCTACGGGGCTCTTTAGGCGTGACAGAGCAGGAGTATCAGCAGTCGCTCTGCTCTGACAAGTGCTACCTTCAGTTCATCAGCAACTCCAAAAGCAAGGCTGACTTCTTCCTCACGTGAGTCCCCTCTGCAGAAGTTTTTTTTTTCTCTTCCCTTTTTTCTAGAGTCTTAGAATATCCCCAGAAATGCTGGAAGGGGTCAACTGGGGCGACAGATTTCTGACAAGGCCATAGCGCCACCTCGCCCCGACAGTCATGCAATCTTAGCCCCTCTTCCCACATCCGCCTTGTTGTTTGAAGCAGTTCTCGATGAAAGGGGAGAGAATCAAAGCGTCCTTTCACCAGTGGATCAGAGACGTCCTGCTCAAAATATGCACACGTCTGCTACAAACCAAGTTTGAAAGTAAACAAGAAGCTGTAGCGTCCATTGACGGAAAAAAAGATTGGTTCGCAATATATCCACCTTTGTCCCTTTGTTATGGCTTTGGCCTGAGCACCAAAACAGCAAATAGATTCATTTGTGTCCTCACGTGTACGATGTGTTGACACTGGCCGGCGTACTCGAAAGACGGCATTTTACTTACTAACAAACACGGGAAACAAATAATCTGGGTGAATGAGCTCTCATTGAGATGTGCTTTTCTTTTGGTGTCTTTCCATTTTAGGAATGACAAACGCTTCTTTTTGAAGACCCAGAATGAACGGGAAATCCGATTCCTTCTGGACAACCTGAAGAACTATGTGGCACATTTGCAGAAGTACCCCCATTCTCTTCTGGTCAAGTTGCTCGGTATGCAAGCAAACGCACTTGAAATGGGCATTACACGGAAAACCCGCCCTCCGTCGCGGGTTCTGGGTTTGCCGTCCTGAGATTTCAGATTTGGGTTTTTTTCGGTCTACGTTGGGTGTAATTCCACTTTCGACGGCTAAATGGTGGCACGTTTATTTAAGATGATTGGCGTCAGCAAACATTTAACTGTTTGCCTGAACACCCTTGACAGAAAGCTGATGAAATGAAATAGACAAAATAGAATTGCTTTTTTTTTTTTTTTGGACTGAATTTTAAAGTGGCCCTTTCATTGTTCTGTTTTTCTGTCGGCGGCCCTCAAATGAAAAAGTTTGGACACCCTTGATGAATACCTTTTACACGGTGCATCTCCTGTTCACACTCGGACACCACATAACTGATTTTCATTTGTATCACATGATTGTTTATTCATTTATTTGTTTGTTCTTTTTTTTTTTGCCAGGTGTTCACAGAATCAAAATTTCCTGCAGGCAAAAGGTACCGGATGTTTGCATCATCAAATATTTCAGTGGAACAGAACATGGATGTAAAGCAGGTTTTGCTCTCCTTTGCAGAAATACTTCATCGTGATGCAAAGTGTGTTTTATCCAGATGATCGAATAAGTGCCAGGTAAGAACTGTTTTCCTCAAGGCTTTGGCACAATGGAATCCAAATGAGAGCCCAGCGTCCCGGTCCGCCCTGTTTGAGATTTCTCCCTCCTCCAATACGCCCCATTCAAACTCCCCCCCCCCCCTGAAAAAAAGCATCATTACTTTTTTTGTCGGCAAACTCCCCCTTTTCGGAGCACACGCGCCACCACACCTCACGATACATCTGAAAATGTACTGGAGATCTAAGCATGTTGATTGGGATGATGTGCTGCTACTTTCTAGGTACGATATTAAAGGTTGTGAAGTGAGTCGCTGGACGGATCCTTCACCAGATGGATGCCAGATTATTGTGGTCCTCAAAGACCTCAATTTCGAAGGCCAGTACATCACTCTCGGTAGGGCGAAGGGCTGGATCTCATTTTGTACTCGACCTTTGGGTTGTCTTGCGCGTGGACTATACGGAACGTATCTGGGAATGTCTGCACACAGAGCGGCAGCGTTACTGGCTCCTGCGACAAATGGAGATCGACACCGAGTTTCTCCGAAGCCTCAACGTGTTGGATTACAGCCTTCTGCTCGCCCACCAACCTTTACAGCACGACGAACGTCACCACGCGCTCTCCTTCGCTTCGCTCATCGTGCGAACGAAACGGTGAGTAACCGATTTCACCACTTGACGCGTGTTTGTACTCTCGTAGCAAAGTCGAAATGAGAACACCGCCGAAATTGTCAGATATTCACACTTTATGTCCGCTAAAACATAAGTGCAGGAAAATGTAACAGGAAAAATGTATTTTTCATCTACAAAATGGTCCATGCACCACTTGTTGTAGATCGGTGAATCCAAGCACCAGCCCCGTCGCCCACGACATGCCTTGTGTTCCCGGAGCTGTCCCAGAGGACGACGCCACTTGCATTTCGTCCGAAATTGAGAGCGACCCTTCGAAGCGAGCACAAGCAGGAGACGGCCAAGGCGGAGAAGCGCATCGCCTTGCCGCCGGGGAAACCGAAGGACTCTCCGACTCGGAGGTCCAGAACAGACGTTTACTGCTCAACTTAAAAAACGCTCTGCATGTCATCGATGGACCCGAGCAACGCTACTTCATTGGCATCATTGACATTTTTACAGTTTACAGTTTGAAGAAGAGACTGGAATATTGGTGGAAGAGACTGAGGCATCCCGGCCGCACGTTCTCCACAGTCAGTCCGCAGATTTATTGCACTCGGCTTTGTCAGTGGGTGCTGGAGCATACCAAGTAGGTGGCCGATGTCTCCAAATCTGTCTCGACGACTCATGTGGGAGCAATTAAAGCAACTCGGTGCACTCGCAACTCACAGTTCTGACTCCGAAGGTTTGAATCTCGCCTCCGACCTTTCGCGTGCCACGATGCCACGATGCGCAGCTGGATTCTGGTTTAGGTGAGCCACTTGAAAAGCTTTGGGCGTTGAAGGAGTTACAACCTCCATTCACAGTATCTCTGGTGGGCGTGGTCACGGTGGTATCCATAAAATCCTTTTTTTTTTTCCTCAAAGCAAATGAATGTCAGTGACTAATGGCTGACTTGACTAAAACGTTGAAAATCAAGAGGCGACGCTGCAGCTGCCATTCCACTCATGCAAGTTTATTGCGCTCCAAGCCAAACAAAAAAAAAGGGTTAACAGCAAGTGCAAAGAGTTGGGGTATTCCACATAGGACATCCAATTCGAAACATGAGCAGCCGAAGGAAATTCCGAATTGTGGTGTGCACACTACCACCAACATGCCCCCC